AGAGAAACGTAAAGAGAGACGACGAAACGCGGAGCAAATGTATGCATGTCGTGCTACGGGGCGTTATTTACGCGACAATTAATGAGCAGAGACTGCGTAAATTATGAGTATCACGTAGCACACGTACTGGTATTCCCACGGAATCAGCGAACGGAGAAGACGACGCGAGCGGAAGCGTATCCGTAAAACGCGGCCGGTTTCGCGAAGGAAGAACAGATAAAGCACGGAAACGTCAGCTGTGTAATCCTGGCGAATGTTCGTGACAGTTCATGATTCAAATATATAAAAAATATATATAAAATTCTGTCGCCATTATATGCTACCTTAATAATAAAAATGTTAATTTGGAGCAGAAAGATGCGCTAAAAACATTTTTTAAATGTGACACATTCATAAAAATAATGTTAGAGCGGATACGTTTTAAAAAATTTTTTAATCGAAAAATGCATTTTTAAATTGAAAATTCTAACAGTGTCCTCAGATAAAATTGTTAAAATAATAATTTAGGTGTGTAAGGGAAATGATCGAATTTTATGTTTATCAGGAATTGTGCATTACCGTTTAAAAGAAAGTGGAACGGACAGACCGAGGGCAAGTGTGCAATTTTTATGACTCCGCTCGGTAAATCCTGTCGATCCGGGACATATATATAAGGGCGAAAAAAATATATACCAGCGGTGAAAAACGAGTCGGCGGGGCGTAGCTCTTTCTCGTTCGGTCTCTCTTTCCAACGTTATTTATACAGGTGCCGCATTTACGAAGGAGAAAGAAGGAGGAGCCCACGTGGGTCGGAGCGAAATAAATTTGCGACTTTGCATTTACGGAAAAAAGCCGCGCGCAACCCCTCGGTACAGTGCACAGATTAGATAACGAGAAAAATTCCAGAGATTGCAATATACTCTATTAAAATTACTACTTCATATATATATATATTTGTTAAAATTATTTCTCACTCGACGTAAATTGCGTGCGTTTTATTTCAGTTCGAATTCCATCTGATTTTATCGAGGTCATTAATCAGTGCTTAAATGCTCGAATCCTTTTCGAGTAAGATAGAAATAATGACTTATTTTCGAAGATACACGGTTTCCGTGCGAAAATTAATGGTTCTATAATGAGGCGACTTACTGCATCTATATTCGCCGCCGAACAAATTTCTCTATAATTAGACACGTCCTACTTTTGTGATAGGAAATTGTAATGTATATAATTTTATCTAGGTATTCCATATTCCACCGTAATAATATCGCGTGACATATCAATTATTTCTTTATTTATAAACAGAAAAAGCTAAAAAAAAATTGACTACATTATGTGATCTATATAGAGTGCAAATTATATTAAATTACACGTGTACTTGTATCAAGAGTTACATGAGCAGAGGCCATTTGTACGTGCTATGTGTTAATTCTCTCCTCTTGCAGAAAAAATGAGCACAATGATAAATCTAATCGTACACGCACTTAATTCACCTGTATCGGCTCCGAAAATCTAGGAGAGTACATACATTTCTCTTTCGGTATTATTAGCATCTGAATGTGCGCGGCAAGAGTTTTCGAGAATAAAACTTAAACGCCTTTATCATTTATTTCACGTCTTGTGCGAAAGCTTTGCAGCTTGCGAACTCGGTAAAGAAAAATTCGCGTAAAGCGCTTTTCGCGTCGATTAATGTCTCTATTATATACAGCAATTCTTCTCGAGTCTCCTCGAATTAAAAACACGATATTACTTCGTGCAAAAAATTTTTTAAAAATAATTAAAAAAAAAAACAAAAATTATACCATCATTAAATCTCTTCGCCACCGATTTGGCGTCGATTAATGTCTCTATTATGTATAGCAATTTTTCTCGAGTCTCTTCGAATTAAAAGCACGATATTCATGCAAAATATATATATAAAAAAAAAAAAATAAATAAATACATAATAAAAAAATTATCTCATCATTAAATCTCTTCGCCATCGATTTGCCGTCGATTAATGCCTGTAATGTATGTATAGCAATTTTTCTCGAGTCTCTTCCAATTAAAAAAGCACGATATTACTTCACGCAAAAAATTTTTTAAAATAATAAATAATAAAAGAGAAAAACAAAAATTTCATTATTAAATCTCTTCGCCACCAATAAAAAAAAAAAAAAAAAAATAATAATAATAAAAAAAAAGAGAAACAAAAATTATGTCGTTAAATCTTTTCGCCGTGGATTTGAAATTTTGGGAAAACGTCAGAATCCAGAAACGCCAATCGTCGCTGACACGCTGTCGATTCATAACGCTATTACGACACTATCGAAAGCGAGATGTGTCTCGACCATTGCGCACTCCATCGACAGTTGTCGAATCGGTTATTAGAGGCGTCGGGAGTAACGTGTGCACCTGTACCGCGCCAAATGGACCGAATTGATCTTAACGTCTCTCCTGGCGCGAGCCTTAGCATTCCGATAATTGCACGTCGCGTGCGTGTGTAGGATTAAAGCTCAGAGAGAGAGAGAGAGACAGGGAGACCGTCGCTCGATAGAGAGAACGTTCGTCTATCGACATGGGCGAGAGAATCAATCCAGCCGCGAAGTCCTGTTTGATTTGCGATTAAACCGCGACGGATGCATTTGGAGAATGCAAATGCACGAGCAGCGTTGCAAAGTAATCGAACGGATGTATGTATAATCCGATATATAGTAGGTATTTTTACAATTTTAATTAATAGATTCGTGATTACGCTTACCGCGCAAATGAATTTGATTGAAATCAATAACGATTAATAAATAGTGTTTTAATGTGCCGTTCAAATATCTATTTGCGAATTTAAAGAAAAAAAATTATTTAATGATATAATATATATAAATTAAATAATATATATAATATTAAAATTATAATATATATATTAAAATTAAAAAAAATAAGGTATCTATCAATGTTAATGAACGTGTCAGAAATAATGTTATAAATAAAATTAAAAAAATATATACGATGTATAAAATTGTATATCAGTTTTGAAGTTAGTCAAATATATCCTTTTGCTTGATCGGAATCATGAATGCGGTTATAATTAGAGACGTTAATTGCGACGCCGTCGTCATTCGGCGTCCTTTGCGGATCCAAATCTGCTGACAAGAATGGCATTCACGTTAGGAAACACTTGGCAACGCACGTTCGATCGTTATTACTGTTTTAAGTAACGTTTATTTATAACCGCACGTGCGCGCGCGACTAGCTCAATCGTTTCGAGCCGCAATAAGAGAGATCGACATAAATCTCGGCTAATTCTCTTGATCAAAGATTCGTACGAAATGCGAGACGCTTAGCTGATTCATGGGGAACGTGATAAAGATTTCCGTCGCCGCTAAACCAACTTCCAAAACCCTATTATTTTTATTGATATTTTACCCTAGTCTTATTCTGTCGTATTAAAAAAATATGTAATATATATTAAACATACAAATATGAAAAATTACACTTATTATATATGCACGTAATTTTACATATTTTACTTTACATGCTTAAAACAATTTTTTTATATATTATTTTTTCTAGTTATATGTTTTAATTACACGTAATTCACTAAAACTAACGCGATAATTTGTCATGTCGAACAAAGATCTTTGCGAAGCTTTCGGGAATTAATTATGATCCAGAAGCACCCGCTGGACTGAAGGACTTCATAGTGTAATCAGCGAAGAGCCTATGTGAATAGTCGCTCGGTTACGTAATACCACATATTTGCAATATGTACTCTTCGCAGCTGGTGGTCCGTCAAGTAATCCGGATTAAGCCGCAATTTAAATCGGGCCGGAACGAGGTTAAATTTAGTTTAAAACGCTCTGCCATACTCTCTATATGCTCTGTGTAATGGATGTTGTGCGCGCATGGTGTAAAATTTAACAGAATAAATAATATTCTGTACACATAAATACACTCATATTTTGTCAAGGAATTAATGCAAAAAAAGGTTTTAACTCTCTTACACAAGTAATTTTACTCTTAAATTCCGTTGTACCGATTTTTAAAACAATATAAAACTTTACTCCCTTTATTCACATCGTAGAGAAAAACTTGTGCTTAAAATTTTGTATGTAAATATGTACGTATATTTTTTCCCGATATTTTTCGAATTTGAATTTCAGATTCACTTACCTAAAAACAAAGCGCATTCTTGAAATAGAAAATAAGTAAAATCTATATAAATATATATATATATATATATATCGTATAGAATATTTTTGTCCGTCCGCACTGAGCAAATTTCACATCTCGATGCGCGGCAAAAGAGAAGCGGAAAAGAAAATCGCGGAATTTAGATCTCGCTCCATACGCGCGAGATTTCCCCTCGTCTTATTTTGCAATATGAGGGAAGACTCTTTTACATCTTTACACGTCGGCAAAGTTGGGAACGAGCAAACGCGAACGCAGAAAATGTACATTTCCCGCGGAAATATCTCCGGGGGAAAAATACGCGCTATCCGCGCGTTTATACAACATAAATCGTACATGTGATAGAAATGATATACGGGCTATATATTTTTTCATTATTTCATACGATGGACTACAAACCCGTGCGCGAGCAATATCGCGCGATCGACCATTTCGCGAATCACTTTCGAAAGCCTCGTATTTTTCTATCGCGAATTTCTGCCGCGTTTCACGAAACTTCAATTTCACGCATCAAATATCCGCGAGCATAATTTTTCTCGCGCATATTATATTTATATATAATCGGGATGGAATCTTGACGGAGAAAAATTGCCTGGTTTTTAGACTTGAAAAATGTTGCAATTTTTGGTAAAAGAGCGAAATCATTTTTAATCGTAATATTTCTATCTTCGATATATCTCCTTACATTGTTCGCGTACAATTCGGCAACACGCTGTATGTACGATGCTTAAGTTTTAATGGAACTCTGTCGCAGTGCCCGGGGCCGTTTAATACTTGAACAGCCCAAGAGAAAGGTTCCGAAAGAAGCGAAAGTTACCGGGGGATAAAAGTGATAAGAAAGTTTCGTTACATACCGTTCGGCACCGTCGGCGGCTTTTTCGTCTGTACCCTCGCTGTTGCGTTGTTCACCTGTCGAATTGTAAAAAGAATCACATATTAGAACAACCGAAACTTCTTACCGAGAGATTTCTATCTGACATTGCCCAACTTTGAGAAATCGCGCGTGGTCGTATCTGGGTCATTTTTCTCGTGTATTTTTCACAAGATTAATATGTGACAACTGTCAAAATATATGAAAAAACTTTAGTAAATTTAGTTGTTATCCAGCGACCAATTAAATTGAAAAAGTGTGAAAACATCTCACAATTTGATTATTTATAACAATGAAATATTTGTGCAAATGAAACAGTTTCATTAAAATACCAACGTAATAATAATTATTAGTCGAAATAATAATAGAACAAATTGTGATTGTATAAAAGCGGCGCAATCACGATGAAAGTATATTTCTCTCTGAACCGAGAATAAAATTTGGGAAATTTTGACAATTTTACGGGGCCACGCGCGAATCCTGTAATGAAATATACGTTGTTCGATGCAGAATCGTATTTGCACAATTGGGCACAATTTGTTTTATTATGGCTTTGAACGTGTTTATGGTAAAATTTTTAAATTGCCTCAATATTGCGATAATTTTATATAATTCTGCATCGTACATGAACCAATTATAAGCAATATTTAACGATTAAAAATTGTATACGAGTGCACGTTCCTTCATATTACTTTTTGTCAATATTTTCATTGGATTTTGTAAATAAATTGTGCATCGAGTTCTCTTTGTGATTCCATCGTTTCGCTTTATATCAGTTATACACAATCAGTAAATGTTTTGAACGTGCAAACGCAACAAGTTTTCTCTTGAATTTAGATATTTTTCTTCTACCCCTAAAATTTGCCTCTTCATACGTAAATTTGCAATCAACATGTATCGATCAGTCGATTGATTTAGAAAATAATTTAGCAATCTTGTAATTTTCGTAAAATGTGTATTCAGAATTTTTTCGTTGTATCAAATTTACGTATCAATATATTTTTTGTTCTAAAATGCATCTAAATTCAAGGAATATTATTCTAAGCGTTAGTAAACATATAATATGAAAAAATCTCTCTTTACGAAAAAAAGAGGCTTTATTTTTAGCAGTTTTCAACTTGCAAAATAAATATTGATCGATGTAAGATAAACTCTAAAAACTCAAACAAAAATAAATAGATAAATGATTGACAGAAACAAATCGTATAACAATAAAAATATTTTCGACATTTAAAATATTATACGCAAGATTGAAATTTATCACAATTTTTTATTTTCGAGCAAAACAGGGAGCCGCAGAAAAAAAAACAATTTATTAAATTTAATTAAACGTTACTGTTATTTTACAAGTTAGAAACTGCGGGGACTTTGACGGTCGACGAATTGAACGCTCGAATAACAATCAATCATTTGTTATTCAGTAATTTGCGTCTTCATTATGCAACTTATATCTATTTATCGCTTTTTAATATACATAAACGTTATAATATCGTACTAGCAACTATTACTGTAACGACCGAATTAAATATCGACAGTAAAAACGATTTTAATCACTGAATCGCGCGCGGTAACAGTACGACAAATGCGACGCACAATACGTGTATAAATAACGCGCGAACAATTCTCGCATTTAATCTCGTCGACCTGCAAAGAGAGCTTTACATGCGCGTCAATTGTCGAGGGAGAGAGCGAGACACAGAGAGAGAGAGAGAGAGAGAGCGCGACAACGCGGTTAAATAAAAGTCAACCCGACTTGTCGAAGGGCGCAACTAATTTCTTTTATTACGCGCCTTACGGATATCAATTACGCGAGACAGTTTAATGAAAGCGATAAAAAGGAAGCAAAAAAGGGCGAAAAAAAGTAAAGAAACCGATTGCTCCGTCGCGCGTCTGTCAGAGATCTCCTTCTCTCTTCTCTCCCTCTGTTCTCCTTCATGACCGAGAAAACAATGGCAAGTCTTCCGGTAGATTTCCGATTATTTCAATTTCGCTCAAGTACTTTCGCGTCTGGCAAAAAAGAACGAGTCCCTCCGCGACTTGTTTCGTTCTTTATCGGGAGAGAGAACACTTCGCTTACCATGGGCTCTCTCTTCAGAGCTTTGCTTTTTGCTTCTACCTACCTGGTCTCTGCCTACCTACCGATCTATACCCCGCCTTCTCGTTTTCCTGCCCCACTTTGCGTCCGCTTCCGCAACGATAGAGAAGAGTTCCGTCGAGGCACAAAAGGTTTGCGATACCGTGGCGTATCGCGTCGCGTTTCTATGTATATACTATGTTTAAACAAGCAGCACGAAAATGCACGTCCGAGCATAGTTGGGACACTGAATCTGTCTCTTTCAATCGAAAGTAGGGTGTACAAATGTGCGATCGAGTAATTATTAAAGAAATTTTATTCATTGTATTTTGACAATTACCTCTGATAAGTAAGTCTGCGAAGATCATAGAAATCGGAACAAAAAATTATGTAATCATTATTTGTTCAAAATTCACGTTAATACATTACACTAAATCATATATATATATAATTTTATTAATAATTTATTTTGTTAATATTGAAAGGAATCAGCCGATCAGCTGATCGCGCACGCGCGAATCTGACAGCTGTCACCGGCAAGCGAGCCGAGAGATCAGACTCTCTCTCTTTCGAGAAGTATACACGATCAATCGAGAATTTTGTATACGGGAGTCTCAGAATAAAATTAGTCTTTGTTCAATTAACAGTAATCTGAATATTTATCTGTAGTGACTTTGAAATATCCTTGTTCCGATCCTTCGCATATCCGCGCTTTCGCTAAGTTACGGTTTAAATTAATAACGATCATCCTTAGACATTTATTTGAATTTATTTCGTTTAAATAATTTTCGTTTTCAATATATAATTTTGTTTATTTATTATTTCAGTTTCTCAACTATTTAAATGACACGAGATGAAATTTTTCGCATTTTTCAGAACGTCAGGAAATACGACGTTGTTCGCAGCTGTGATTGATAAATAAAAGATTGATGTGCCTCGAATTCGCGCGACAGGAAACGGATCTTGAACAGCGTATCGACTCTCACGAGGATTGTGAATTACGAGGCTTTATCCAGGGCCAATCACGCCGACTGGTATAGCGCATCGTCGAGCAATTTGCATTTTACGATCTTGTTTCCAGCAACGAGGATTTGATATCGACTATCGTACATTTCGCGGCATGTAGCGCATAGGTTAAACGAACATTGTTACTAAGGAACATGAAGACCGGTGATAGGATAGTCAAAGTTACATTTCATTTAAAAATAATCAATTATTCAAATCATTATTATTCATGAATCATGCTAGAACATCGTTAGATTGAATTTTAATTATCTAAGCTAATAGTGTTAAATAACACCTATTATATGCATATTGTACATGAAATGCGTATATGTATGTATGCACAAACTGTTTTATGATGCATCCCAAAGTGATAAAAACTGCCGAACTTTACCTGCGATCTAGACATGTCGCTTAGGAAAATACGAGTGTTTTTCATACATTTGAAAAAAATAAATAAATAAATAAATAAATTCGTTCCTGTCCGCATGAAGTATCGTTATGCCGCGATACTGGGAGATGCAACCGATGCAAAAACTACGCGGGGTTGTTGCACTTTAACGAATAAACAAACGAGCGAAACGCAAGCCGAGAATCTATCCCGATCGATGATAAACAAACGTGTCCGTGCGTGAACTACCTTGCTCTGACAAACAATTGTGGCACGCCGGGCGAATTTTTGTTTGCCGCATTCGAGAATCAGCGTATCGCATTCATTGCATTCAACCGACGGGAAGCATCGCGCACAGCCCGATTGTTTTGCAAATTATAGCAGCGGATATTAATGACACCAAGCCGAAATCGACAGGCAATTTCAATTTGGATCGGGCGTTATCCCTCTCGTGTTCTTATATATAAATAGAGACGATGCGCGTTTCGACAAAATGCCGTATGTAATTGTTCATCCAAAATTGCACCCCTATTGAAATAACAAGATGAATTTGAAAAAATTTTGCGACTAAAAATCATTACAATATATTCTTGAATGCAGACGAGACTTTAAATTGAAATTTTATAATCAGTATAAATTTGAAAGTTGCCAATTTTATTACCGAGAGATCAACATTTAATATTCGCATATTAAAGTTTAACTATAATAGTGCCAGCATGTGAATATATAGATACACAATTAATTTAACGTTCAATATAGAACTAAAATCGATATCTCATTATAACACGTTCTCTCCCTTTTTTAAGGGTCTCGTTTGAATGTACGAGAAAGACTCCAAAGAGACAATGTCTCCGCGATCTTATCTGTGTTACTTTATTAATTCGGCGCGAAAAAAATTATAAACATAGACCATTAAATAATATGCAAATAACAGGGTTGCGACGAAAAAATTCGTTTCGACGGCCTTGTTACGAGACTATCTATCTATCTATATGGAATAATGTGCCGTCTAAAATTATGCATAAATCAATATTGCAAACTCCTTCTGCAGAATGCATTGATCAATGTCATCGCATATTTAACCCTAAATGTCGCCTTGTATTATATGCGATTAAAACACGTATGTAAATAATAATATACAAGAAATTGCAATATGAAACTATATAACATTTATATTATTTTTTAGAGCAATTAAAATTTAATAATGTAGACAATAGTCAAATCTATTAATTTAAATTACAAAATGCAGCGCAAAACCACGCGAGAAAAATAAATTCTTCGAATATATATTTTCAAAATTTAAGTAAGCAAAAATTGAGGCTTAAATTTCACTTATCTTGATTTTGTACAATACGAACCACCCTATTACATAATGCAATTGGTCGCGAGCACCGACGAAGGCAAACCTGTTACATTAATCAAGACCCGAATACAAGAGCGATCGGTATTCGCAGGATCTAACAATCGACGCGATTCTCCCCGGCGAGAGAGAGAGTCCGCGAATTTCTCGAGCACTTATCTCATTCCCCAGCAGGGACTCGTCCAGACTTAGAAGGAGTCGCTTGCGATCG